AAAAGGCCTAAAAACCATACTTTCTCTGTTACTGCTGGATAGAGATGTCCATGTGTTACCTAAATGGGTTATCATGATTAACCTGTTGCTGACAGCTGAAAACAGTCCATGTGTTACCTGTCATAGAAGTCTTCTCTGTAGTAGTCATAATCAAACTCATAGCCGCTGGGTAGAAAAAGCACAGCACAACATAGAGTCATAGAGTATTTTTCATTACATGAGCATGAAACTGCATATAAAGCACCATAATATGACAAAAAAAAAGGTTTTCAATGCAGTTTATAGTTAAAAATACAAATGAAAAATAAGAGTGTATAAAATAGTTACAATCTGTGTGGGAAAGAAACCAGAAAAACAGACAAAAGGTACTCAAACCAGAGATAAAACAAGAGACAATAGATCTTCAAACAGACTGCTAGAGGCCAAGAGTGCATTTATGACACATATTTTAAAATTACTGTTAGCATCCACAGTCTGTTAGCATGTCCTGAGAAGCAGAGTGAAGAGCAGCAGGTCGAAAAATAAACCTGTTCCTTTTATCACTAAAAATGACCAGCGTCACAGTATGACAGTTGGTAGCTATGAGCCTACATTAGTATTCAGACAATGACAGGTTTAAATGGTAGAGTGACGTACAACATGACTCTGCACCAATTTAAATATAAAGAAAAGACTATAAAATAAAATCATTCAGAACAGACTTTAATAAGGATTTCTTAATCCTCATTACTTCTTTATAGATAGTGCGGCAGGGCGTGGTCGGTGGATATTCTGCGGTGAGGCGGACACACCTGAGCGCCATTAGTTATCACGCCGCACCTGTATTAAAAGGCTGTGAGGCTGTGCTGGGTCCTGAGTGTTGTTGTTGTTGGAGTATGTGGCTGTGAGCTGAACAGCTGCAGCCAGTGTGTAAACAAGCAACTGTGAATAAAGTGCTGAAAAGCACGAGGTCTGCTGTGGGTTTATTACAAATTGATAGATAGAAACTTTATTGATCCCACAAGGAAAATTGCTGTTATGCATTGTAGGTGGTTTTGATGCTATACTACAACTTTCCTTGTGTGTGTGTGTGTGCATTGGTTTATGTACCTATACCGTTTGTGGTCACATTACTTCCTAATCAATCCCTTGGCCTTAAAAAGAAGCTTTTTTAGCAAGTTCCCGAAACACTCAAAGAGCTGCTTAGGAATTTGAGTGACACATTAATCAAATAATCAATAAGTCTGATAAATAGCAGTGTGTACCTGTAGAGAGAAGCTGCTGATCGTTTCAGGCCTTTGGGTCTGGGCTTTGGCTCTCCCGCCATGTTGATATCTGGAATATATATATGTATATATATATTTATATATATATATATATAAAAGAACAAACACTCTGTTAACTACCAAATAAAATTATATTAATCGATCATTAAAAAGTATTGTAGCTAGATCACAAAACAGTAACCCTATCTGTACCTTTAACTGTGCCTTTAACTTAGATCTAAGACAGTTCCTGTGTTATCTTGTAACTTCCACTAGAGGTAGCTGTTGAGCTATTTTACAACAATAACAGTGCCAGCTGTTAGGTCAGTTCCCCTTACTGTACAGAAGGGGAGGGGAAAAAAACAAGAAACTAACCCCTCAGCTGTGTTTGTTACTTCGCTCATTCTCTTATGTCAAAAAGGAATATAACAGTACATCCAAAGTACATGCTCTACAATAATTACATGGTTGTAGAAGCAATTAAAAATATATGTAGCTGCTTTGTAGGCCAAATAAAATGAAAGAAAATGAAAAAAGAAAGAAACTGTCAGCAAACTTTCTGAATCAGACATCCAGTTAAAGACGTGGAGGGCCTGATTTCAGCTGACTGGGATAAAAGCAGGCTATACCCTGAAGAGGTTGTCTGTCAACCATAGGTCTAACAAAGACAGACTGACAACCAAACAAACCTTGGAAAGCATGTTTTAACCCATTATCATCTTCCTTTGAGGCAACAACTATAATCTGTAAATCACTTTTCTCCCCTCAAGTCCTGAAATATTTGTTGTGTTCTTCTAATGTTTTGTAAATACTGCAATAGTAATTATGATCAACTAAATGAAAACTTAATTACACCAAGTTAGGATTAATGGAATATGTATGTTTTCAGGAGGCAAAATGATTTGAATGAATTGGGGGGGGGGGAATAGTAGAGAAACTAAGAACAAAGCGTCCTCACTGTAAGATTATTAAAGACAGTTTGTTGAGAAGGTTTTCTTTTTTTTGGTTCAAATTTGTGTTGTTAATTACACAGTGAAAGGAAAACAAAGGATCTGTCATTATGAATGATGAAAATGTCATGAGCTGATTCCTACGTTGTGGTCTTAAATTTAACAGACTATTAGAACTCATTTGCTTTAGTTCCACCCAGCATGGGTAGTCTGGTGGTTAATGGCTAGTCTGCTAACAGAGGGGGAAAACAGAACTTGCACTGATGAATCACCATCCATCCATTTCTAAATCACTTCATGGTTCAAGGTCACCAGAGCACCAGAGTCAATTCCAGCATGCAGTGGGTCACGGAGCACCACAGCTCACCAGTCTATCACAGAACAGCATTTACTTTCTAGTTGTAGGAGTAAACCAGAGCATCTCTATGAAAGCCTTACAAAACTGGAGGAAACAAACTCCATACAGACGAAAAGGCTTCAGCAGATTTGTATCAGACTGGAACCCAGAACTCGGAATCAAGCACTGATACTGCAGCCTCTCACAAATTAGTGAGATATTTAGATATTTCCAAGCAAAAATTACTGGCAACTTGGGAAAATACCTCTTCAGGTTTGATGTGCAGTGTTCACGTGGGTTTTTCACTCTCCAAAGTATCTTTAGATTGTAAAGTTTACTGAAGTAAAAATTCAGACAAATGCAGTAAAGCAGTAAAATACACTCAAATATAAAAGAAATTAAAAGTTGCTGAAAACCAGCTAGTTTAAAATTGCTGTTGCTTAAGCTAAATTAGTAATAAATCAATAATATTGTGATCTCAGTTCTGCAAAACTACTAGCACTAGTTTGTGATCGTATTTGACTACAAGGAGAGGATACATAGCACGTTGCTAAAATCAGAAATATTAAATAAAGAATCAGATAAAACAATATGTAATAATATTGTAGTTTTAATAACATTATTGTAATGCAGTGTGAGTTAAGGCAGAAACAAAATGTTACATGGAGAGCTGTTTGGGCTGGTTACAGAGGAAGCTGGTGACACGAGCATTTTAGGAGAGCAAACAGTCTAAGCTCATACTGGCCGTTCTGTTCATCTGCTTGAGTATGATTGTTAATCAACAAACTGCTAATGAGCCAGTGCCTGTGAGCTACTAAAAAAAGCAGCTGATGCTAGTCATACAATACCAGCCCCCCTTAAATCCTCCTCTGCTTGAATATAAGGTGATGCTCCTGTCTTGTTAAATTGTATGTAGTGCAGGCAGCACTTGAAGCATAAAGACATCACCACAAGTTGAAAAGTATATAAAAGGATTTGAAGTTGACGGATAAGCAAATTGTAGCAAATACTACGAAGGCAGATGTAACATTTCTGAACTTACATGAGGTCTTATCGCCTAAAACAAACCTGTACATTTTACAGTGATGGAAAACACGGAGTTACTAAATTTCGCAGACAATTGTTTTTATCTTAGAAATGTTGAAATATGAAGACAGAGATGAAGAAAGATGAAGAAAAAGCATCCACTGAGGATAATAACAGGATGGAGCGAGGATGAGGACAGAAAGTGAGTTTTCAGCAACCAGAGGCTACAGATTCAAGCCTTTTAACTTCACCGTGAAGGAGAGTGTGCACGTGCCTGTGTGTGTGTGTGTGAGTGTGTGTGTGAGTTTGAGGCAGTGATCCAGAACTGTGACTCCAGCCAGGTGTGAAAATGGTTGGAGTCCATTGGTTTGCAGGAAACACACAAACACACATACCCTCCCCTCTATGACCTAGTGAAAAACTGTGCAAGCACGCACACACGCAGTTTACCTGCTGCTCCATATGCCTCACTGACTTTACCTGTAGGTCCTGCTATTTAAAGAGGAAGCCTGTAAGGGAAACACAAGCACACACACACACACACACACACACAATGCCCCTTTGAGGAGCAAGTCATTTCAGTCTGTAAAAACACCTCATGTCAGCTGATCAGCGCATTAAAATTAGTAGTTTGTTAGAATAGTGGTTTATGAATCAATACTACTCTCAGCTGATATGATAACCTTGGGTGGAGCACTAACTTTGTCTTTTTATCTAAAGCAAAAGGTCAAAATATTAGTTTGATGACACAACATGCTGGGTTTTTTCTCATGTTTTACAGTGTTTACAGAAGTTTGAGGACAACACTGAGGCAAATACCTTGTACAGTACTCTTTGTGCCTTAGGTGAGTATTAAACCAGCTTACTGATTCCTCCCTACCTCGCTGGACTAGACTGAGAAGAGAAAGGTGACACCAGATTTTATGAAAACACTTTCGGACGACATAATTATACATAAATTCTTGTAATAATAATATGTGGTTATGCCTGCATATGTGAAGTAATCCATGCTGATTATTTTTATAGAGTTTATTTATTATAATTTGTTTTGAATTCTTACAAACTAACTAATACTGTGCAGATAAAGTTAGCTATAAGCAAAGTTATGGCAGCTACATATATCAGCCAAATTCTATATTCTGCTTATTGATTTACTTTTTTTAATTTAACATTTAAATAGTTGGAAACAAACAGGATGAGTGCAATCTACTTCATGTATATGTATATACGTATGTTCCCCATGAATTTAAAAACTAATGGTTTTGATAACTGACAAACATGTTGCACGTGTGTTAAAATGTACAAAAGCAAACCTCATGGGGCATTTTTAATTGCTGCATAACTGATTTTGTGATGTTACTGACCATGATTCAGGAATATTGTCATATTTAGAAAATATTTGGAAATTCATATGATTTAAGAATTCGAGGACTACAGCTTGTTTTGTAGACCTCAGGCTGCCCAAGTCTCCTGAAACCCATTCTAGTGAGTGGTCGTTTTACAGGTGAACTGTTAATTTTACTGTGTCTGAAAATTGCATGATTCTTCTTATGATGATTTTCTTTTTTCTGCTGTATTGCACATTTTTTTTGCTTTTTTATGACTATTTTTTCAAGCAGTCTGTTAGCAGAGTTTGTCTTTTGACAGTTTCAACATAAACTGTCTTCATGTCATTGGATGTATTGTTTGAGTCTTCTGTTAAAAAGGAAACTGAATCCCTAAGGTAGTGGCCATGTTTAAAAAGTGTCCCAGAGAGGGGGAAACAGACAGGATAAGAGAATGAAAAGATATTTGGTACAGAAAAAGAAGATGGCTTTTATATGATTTCTACAGCAACACACGCACACCTACACAAAAGCTGCAGAGGTGCAGAGAGCATCACTTAGAGGCCCCTTAGCTGTCACAGCTTTATCCTCCATTACACATAAACACACACACACACACACACACACACACACACGCACAGAAATGCTTCTTTCAGTTGCACTCATTCACGTACATTCTCGTTCTCGCACACGCCGCACTGAGAGAAGCTATTAAAGAAATGTGCTTGAAGCCCTGCAGTGACTGAGCATAAACCAGTCGAGTTCTTCACACCAGCTCACTGACAGTTTGTCTCTTCCTGCTTCGCCGGGGGACCAGGCAGGGGGAGAAAATCACTCCAGCAGCTTAAAGGCACACTCCGCTTAACTGTTTTTGCTCCTCTGATATGGTTTTTCCTCCGCAATAGCAAAAACAAAAAAATATGAGAGAGAGACAGACAGACTAAAGAGGTAATTGAATGTAATGATGCTTAAGGGTTGTCACAGGTTAGAGAGTTTTGTTGTAGTCAGAGCTGCTGGATGTTAGTTTTATTATAACAAAACTGTAGATTCTGAAGCCATTAATCTATCAATCCTTTTGTGGGTTACAAGCTTCAGCTGAATATCTAATCCAATAGACCAACAGTGTCTTTTCGCAATGTGGAAGTCCTAAAAGTCAAGTTTTATTCATCTTTTTTTATTAAGTAAAACTACAATTCACATGCTGTTTCACATCAACTCACCGAGTGTTTGTCCTGCCAGCACCCTGCCGTTCTCACCAATCACAGCTCCCCTGGCATGCCTCTCACTGGCGTACTGGACAAAGGCATAGCCCTTGTGCACAGAACAGCCGAGCACACGGCCATACTTGGAAAAGATGCTCTCAACATCAGACTTCTTGACCACCGCTGTATTCAGGTTGCCAATAAACACCCGTGAATTGATGGACTTTGGGTCTGTCTTGTTGGTCACATTACTGGTCTGTACCTTCAGTGACATCCTGGAGAGAATGGCGATGGAGGTAAGTGCCAAATGGATGGATTGGAAGGCAGCAATGTAGACAGACAAGTATCTGGAGAGAGAGAAGATACATTTTCAGTTTCAGTGACAGATAATAGAGGACAGCTGCAGGAGTCTCACTGACAGACATTTAAGAATTATTCTCATAACTGAGCAAAGAGGTAAATGCTTATTTCTTTACCAACATTCTTCCTTTTCAACACACTAAATTCAGGGTAGACTGATGTCCCATCAAAAACACAGACAACAGCTGTATATGTATGTATTTCTCCACACAATAGCAACCAATTACTCTAGTTATGCTGATTATTTTCTGAATTCTTCTTAAGTTTTTTCCCTCGCCTCCCACTTCTTTTCTACTTCATTAGTCATAAAAATTGGGCCTTTAATTTTAGACTGAAAGAAAATTAGTTTTCTTTGTTGAATAAACAGGCACTCGATCATTATTCATACAGATTTAAAGACATCGGTGCACATGATATGACTCATTACAAGGATTTGAAAGGTTATTTTCTAAAATTCAAAGTTCTTTTTTGCAAAAATTCATCTACATGTATAAACATTTCTTCTTTGATGAAGCCTGTTTTTATTTCGGGATCAGATGATCCTAAACCATTTGTTAGTTATGCTGCTTTAGGTTCAAACCACTTTCTATAATCCACTCAGTCTTCTTCTTCTTCTCCTATAGATTCATTAATTAAAGAGAATAAATACAACAAATACTGAAAGAACAGCCGATCAGCAATAACTGCAGTAACTAAGCTCTTCTCATTCCTCTAATAAAGTCTTTCACAAAACAGAGACTAAAATTGTATTTACTTATAATTATATGTGTACTAATTACTAACCACTTCCATAAGTGAAAAGGAAAGAACAGCTACAGTCTAATCTGAATATCTAGAAAAACAATGATAACAAGCAACAATGTTGATCTGATCCAATAAGTTATGGTGGCCCAAAATGCAGCTGTTTTATCACGAGACAACCAAAATCGATGACAGAGCAGAATTTGAAAACTAATATAACAAGCATCACGTAGCAATCACCACCCTCTCCACAAAGTGATCTCCTCCTTTTATCTGTGTTAATAACAGCTGGATAAATGAGTAAAATCAAAGATGGGAAAAAATGATAAATAAGGAAAGTAAAAAACATTTCAAACATAAAAGAAGATTAAAAGGGTCAAAGAAAAAACACTATCAATCAGTAACAGAAGAAGAACGAGGAAAAACAGAACAGGTGTGTGGACAGTGAAGCATCAAAACAAAGAAGGGGAGAGAAGAGAAATGCTGATGGCAAAAATAAAAGTACTGGCAGCTCCCAGAGTTATCCCTCAGCCTCCTAGTAGATGCACCTGCGTTTTGAAAATCCTAGTGGATTTTCAGAAAAGCTGATCTTGAGGCCAAGGCCATGGGATTTGAACTAGATGCAGCTGTGGTATCAAATTAAATTCATTTTTTCAATTTATTGAGTTCACAGGATTTTCAGGAAATGTGACTTCTGACCTTAAACTTGGGTTCAAGGCCACAGGGATTCACCTATGGTATCAGTTTGAAAGTCTTATGTCACCTTGTTCTTGACTTATCACATTTACAAACTTGGGGGTGCATGCCCCCCGCCCGTCCAAATACTGCACATGCACGGAAGGATGTGAAACCAAACAAACTTAATCAAAAGTTTAGGAACACTTTAATCTTTCTTTAGAGTCAAAGTACTGATACTTCTACTGTCCTCCACACCCATGATTGCTTTGCAAACAGGAACTGCTGATATTTGATTCATACCAGTTAAAAGTGTCCAAAACCAGTGTTAGAGTTTAAGCCCTAAACAAAGCCCTAAGTGAGGAGATCTCAGGTAACTTATCCACCATTGAAGAACTTTTAACTACTTCTATCACAAACCGCTGTAAAGCTCCAGGAGATCATTGCTCACTTGAAATTTGATTCATCATGGCTTCATTGTACTTGACATTCAGATATAAACTTGGCATTTACAAAAAGCCAAGGGAATCATGCAAATGAGTGAGTGATTTATGTAAACTACTGATAGCAGAGTAGTGGGAGTGAAAACTGACAGATGAGTCAGCAGACAGGAGATGGAAAAATGTAACTTGTTGTTCTGTCAACAATGACATGAAACAGAAGAACTTTGGTACACAGAAAACAGCGCTAAGTATAATAGACGAAGGAGCTCAAAGAATTCTGTGGGGGCTGGAAATCGTGCCAAACACCAGAACAATACAAATATTCAAAGCTTTGTCAGACTCATCAATTATCAAGGTTAGAAAAAACTGCGCGGATCCTGATTTTAAAACTTTTGAGTTATCTTAGACCTTCTGTATGGACATTGGAATACTGGTTAGAACAATGACCCCTCACCCACTGCATATTGTATAATACACAAAGAGGCACAAGTGATAAAAAAAACAAGGTAATTCTGATAAATATGTTGGTGTACACTTTTCTGTAATTATAACTTTGGTCATGGTATATCTTCTCCTTTCCTCTCTATCAATAGAAATATCCAGCAATGAGTTAGAGTTCTAGGAAGCAAGATTTTTTTTATGATTCAGCACTGTTGAGTGTGTGTGTGTGTGTGTGTGTGTGTGTGTGTGTGTGTGTGT